AAACAAAGACCTTAAGAGTAAGGAGGAATTAGTTCAGCAGAGGAGCTGGCTTTTTTGGAGATGGGTGTGGGGAATGATGTTGGAGTTGTGTGCTTCAAGCACAATGCACGCACTGTGGCAGGTACAGAGAAGACCCAGAAGGGGAAGAATGGTTCATAAGAGTTGGAGAAGTTATAAGGATCTAGTGTTAGTGAAGCCATTGCAGAAACACAGAATTGACTTAATTTACTTGCTAATCCAACAAAAACTTATTTATTTTTTGAGATGAGGCCCTACTCTGTTACCCAGGCTAAAGTTCAGTGGTGTGATCACATCTCACTATAGCCTTGACCTCCTGGGCTCAAGCCATAATCTCAACTCAGCCTCCCTAGTAGCTAGGACAAACTTTTTTTTTTTTTGAGACAGAGTCTTGCTTTGTCACCCAGGCTGGAGTGCAGTGGCGTAATCTTGAGTCACTGCACCTCTGATTCCTGGGTTCAAGCAATTCTCCTGCCACAGCCTCCCAAGTAGCTGGGATTACAGGTGCCCACCACCACATCCAGCTAATTTTTTTTTTTTTTGTAGTTTTAGTAGAGACGAGGTTTCACCACATTGGCCAGCCTGGTCTAGAACCCCTGTCCTCAGGTGATCTACCCGCCTCAGCCTCCCAAAGTGCTGGGATTACAGGCATATGCCACCGTGTCCAGCCACTTTTTTTTTTTTTTTTTGAGACAGAGTCTTGCTCTGTCATCAGGCTGGAGTGCAGTGGCACAATCTCGGCTCAATCCAATCTCTGTCTCCCAGGTTTAGGTGATTCTCTTGTCTCAGCCTCCTGAGTAGCTGGGACTACAGGCACATGCCACCATGCTCAGCTAATTTTTGTATTTTTAGTAGAGACAGGGCTTTACCATGTTGGCCAGGATGGTCTTTTTTTTTTTATTTAACTATTTTATTTTTTGATATAGTATAGTAGAGTACAGTGGAGTTTAGTGGCCCAATCTTGGCTCATTGCAGCCTCTGCCTCCAGGGTTCCAGCAATTCTCCTGCCTCAGCCCTCTGAGTACCTGGGATTATAGGTGCATGCCACTGCGCCAGTGTAATTTTTGTATTTTCAGTAGAGACTGGGTTTCACCATGCTGGCCAGGCTGGTCTCAAACACCTGACCTCAGTTGATCCACATGCCTCAGCCTCCCAAAGCGCTGGGATTACAGGTGTGAGCCACCATGCCTGGCACTAATACTTATTTAATGAGTGTCTCCCACATGCCAGGCATATACAAGACCAGATCCATGCTCCTAGGATGCCTGTATGCTGGTGTAGCAGATACACTACCAACAAATAAAACAAACCTTGCTCTAAGAGCTAAGAAGGAAATACACATCCTCATCTCTAAGTAAAGTGAGTTTACTTAGGCTGAGATGTCCATAGGTAGGATGTGACCTGTAGAACCACGGGGAGAGGTTCCAGTAGAGAAAGTGGGCAAGAACATGGTATATGATAGGTGACATCATAATGCTGATGGCACCAGAGCATGGTGAAGGCAGCAGTCTATGAGGGAGAGGCCTGCTCAAGCAGGGCGTGAAGGCCACAGAAAGTCACTGGAGAGTAAGTAGGGAAATGACATGATCTGCCCTGATCCGATCTTGTTTCATGGAAAAATGAACTGGAGGAAGATCTGAGTGAAAACCTAGGAAACCTGAGGATACCGTCATGGTTGCCCAGGCAAAAGATGGTGGTGGCTTGGAATAGGGTAGTAGCAGTGAAGACAGAGAAGAGAAGACAGATTATAAATACATTCTGGAAGTGGAAGGGACAGAACTTATTGAAAGACTGGGGAAGAGGAGTAGTAAAGGAAAAGAACAAAGATGATTCTCAGAGGTCCATCTTTGGTAACCCTATGGATAGGAGTACCACTCAGTGAAATGAGAAGGGTAACACTTAGAATGATGAGAAAACCAAAACTTTCTTTTGGTTATGTTAGCTTTGGGGTACCTAAGAAATATCCAAAGGGAGATAATTAAACAGGCATTTTTAGTGTGTGATTCTGGAACATAGAGGAGAGGGCTGGACTAGAGATTTAAACTTTAGAGTTGCCAACTTTCAGGTGGTAATTAAAGCCATAGGACTGGGCCACCTAAAGGAAAAACATGCAGAGGGCTCAGGATTAAATCCTGTGAGAATTCCAACACACACATATATATATATACATATATATATATACACACACATATATATATACATATATATATATACACACATATATATATATACATATATATATACACACATATATATATACATATATATATACACACATATATATACACGTAAATATATATAAATATATAAATACACACACACACACACACACACACACACACACACGTTTGAGATAGAGTCTTGCTCTGTTGCCTATGCTGGAGTGCAGTGGCATAATCTCTGCTTACTGCAACCTCTGCCTCCTGGATTCAAGTGATTCTCCTGTCTCAGCCTCCCAAGTAGCTGGGATTATAGGCGTGCCATCATGCCCCACTAGTTTTTGTATTTTTAGTAGAGATGGGGTTTTACCATCTTGGCCAGGCTGGTCTTGAACTCCTGACCTCAAGTGATCCACCCACTTCAACCTCCCAAAGTGTTGGGATTACAGGCGTGAGCCACTGCCCCCAGACCCAATATTTAGACATGAGAGAGAGAGCAAAAATGGCTAGCAAATGAGACTCAGAAGGAACAGCCAGATAAATGGAGAAAAATCAAGAGTGCAATGTCAATGAAGCCAAGATGGGAGTTTGGAGACAGGAGTAACTATTTGAACATTGCAGAGACAAAGGAAGATGAGAACAAAGTATCCATTGGATTTGGCAACAAAGAAGTCACTGGTGACCTTGATCAGGGCAACTTCAGTGGAGTGGGCAAAGTTGCTGTGGTGGCACTTGCCTACTAAAAGCTGTCTCAGGAGGACTGCTTGAGCTCAGGAGTTCCCGTTGGCAGTGAGCTATGATAGAGCCACTGAGCTCCAATGTGGGCAACAGAGCAAGACCCTGTCTCTTAAAAAAAAAAAAAAAAAAAAAAAGAGTCGGCAGAAGAGAAGCCAGATTGGTATAAAATGAAGAGTAAATAAAAAGTGAGAAAGCTGAGTTGGTAAAGGTAGTTATCTATGAATGGAAATTTAAAAAATTACCACATTAGTTGGAGAGGAATGTGAGGGATACCAGAACATAATCTGTATGCTGATAGGAACAGTTTTATGGAAAGAAAGGATTTGGTGACTCTCTGTATTGGGAAATAGTGGAGAGAAAGGAAGCCAAGGATTATAGGTAAGATTGATAGTAGCGCCATTTATTAAGATCAAGACTATAGAAGCAAGGGCAAAAGTATTTGCCTACAAAGATCATATGTTTCCACCACACTAGAGAGGCTTTCAGAAGGAGAACTGTAAAAATTGACTAAGCCTCTCCAGACTGCACCACTTTCTGATGTAATTAATCTCTTGATGAAGTTAAGACCTCTTAGAGTCTCAGGCCATGCAATGCAATCTAGCAGCCACACAAACCAAGTGAATAATAATGGACTTGTACTGGTGAAAGGGACACTACTCATGGAAAAGGGCCCTAAATTCACAGCTGATGGAAGAGCAGTCATGCTTTTGTAATCAAAACACCGAAGACTTACAAACCGGTAACTTTCAGACAAACAGTGGAACCAGACATTTTCCCGAAGAAATTAATCAAATTCAATATCGTTTACACTCTCTAATGCTTATTAATGATGTAGCTTCATACACCCTTGCTACTTCTGATATTACAGTGAATTTCCGTGGAAGTATTTTTAGAGAGCTTAGGTCTCTGAAATAAGCATCAGTTCGCGTAACAACCCAGGGAAATGAATTTCTCCAGCTGGTTCAAAGGAGTGCCTGAGGAGAAAGGCAGAAACTAGACAATACAATTTTGATCTAATAAATCTTTCTAATGTTCATGATAGGCGTCTGGCAAACGTTTGAGAAAATGAATGTACGGAGAATGAATGGGCTTCAGGTACTTCTACAAGACCTTCGCCCTTTAGAAAGGAATGAAGGATGCAACCGTCTACAAAAAGTTCCATTTGTATTTTTCAGCAATATGTAATGAGCTGGAATTTGGCATCGCCCTCTAGCCTGCTGGCCGAACTGCTGAAAGCTCCATAGTATTCATATCCCCAGAACAAACAATTCGATCACCTGATCCCTGCTCAGAAGCCCCAGGTCCCTTCCATCCCCAGTGCTTTCCTGTGGCCCAGTTTTATAAAAAGCTGCGGAGGGAAGGACGGGATGCCAGGAAGCCTGTTGATTCAACATGCCACCCAATTGACGGGTTCCAGGTGTTACCGGGCTGGGAAAAGCTTTGAGACTCTGAGCAACCGCTTTCCTCCCCTTCCCCCCACAGAGCAAGGAAGGCCAGGCCCCCCCTTCCTTCTTCCCGCATTCGGCTCCCCATAGCCTCTTCCTTTACGCGACCAGGCCCTAGAAGCCTGGTTCCCCACCTGACCAATGCGAGAAACACGCTCTCTAGTCGGAACTTTACCTGCCTGAAGCCGGCCGCTCCTCCGGTGCGCTAAGCCCCCACCGAGGAAAATGGAGTCGTCGAACCAAGACTGGGAAAGGATAGTACGGAGCCACCGCACTGCCCCTCCGCCGCCACCGCCGCCGCTGCTGCGTCAACGTGCTACGTCATTTCCGGCTCCCTGTCACTGGGAGTGGGCGGCCCATTTCTTACTCTCTCTGCAGCTCTTGGGGGTTTCGTCCTGAGGGTGCGAAAGCTAGCCGAAGCGGCTCAGGACGACAGCTGCCACAGGGACCCCGGAACAGAGCGAGAGTTTCTTAAGGAACCAGGCCCAGCCGGTTTTTCCGGCCGCTCTAGCAAAATAAACCATAAAGATCAGACTCGGGCTTCTTCACTTCCTTCTCTCCGTGGTTTCGCCTTCAGCTTCCGGTTCCGGGGAGGGGCCGAGTTTTCTTCGAAGATCTGGAGCTCCGCGATACAGCTACGATGGCTGTGGTACCGCTACTGTTGTTGGGGGGTTTGTGGAACGCTGTGGGAGCGTCCAATCTGGCTGTCGTTACTTGCGGCTCCGTGGTGAAGCTAGTCAATACGCGCCACAACGTCCGACTGCACTCACACGATGTGCGCTATGGGTCAGGTAATGCTGGGGACCGGTCTTGGGTGGGCTGGGGAGGCCTGGGAAGCTCTGGAGGGGCGGGACCCCCTGAGGGTGTGGTCTGGGAAGGTTAGCAGTTCCCTGGGAAGGTTCCTCAGGTCTAGAGAGTCGGAGAACTGAGTTGTTCTAAAGCGTCTTAATCGCAACAACACTTAATATTTGCTAAGCTACCGGCCAGGCACGTTACCTGTGTTCTTTTTCCGATTATTAACTTTCCTGTAAGGTGATAACGATTGATATCCTCATTTCGCAGTTGAGGAAACAGTCGCAAAGAAATTAAATCGCTTATTCAAAGCCTTGCATCTCGCAAATGACAAAGTCGGGGTTCTATCCAAATCTATCTAGGTTCAAAGCCTGCTTTAGAGACAAACAAGAAAATTACAGTAAGTGCTATCTGAAATTTTAAAGTTACGGAAAGTACTGTATCTGAAACTTTAAACTCCAAGAGCTCACTCTTTGACTACAACCCTTTGTCTTCCAGCTCTTTTGCTTCTTTCACTTGCTCCTCAATTTGTATCTTTTGTTCCCCTTATACCCAAACCTTAACCTCCTTCTTGTAATGAACTTGGAGCAGTGACAAGAATTGCAGAGAAAATGCCTTTTTTTTTTTTGACAAGGAGTCTCAAAAAAAGAGACTCTGTCACCCAGGCTGGAGTGCAGTGGCCTGATCTCAGCTCACTGCATCCTCTGCCTCCCGGGTTCAGGTGATTCTCCTGCCTCAGCCTCTCGAGTAGCTGGGACTACAGGTACGTGCCAACACACCTGGCTAATTTTTGTGTTTTTAGTAGAGACAAGGTTTCGCCATGTTGGCGAGGCTGGTCTCGAACTCCTGACCTCAGGTGATCCACCCACCTTGGCCACCAAAAGTGTTGGGTTTACCAGCATGAGTCACTGCGCCCAGTGAAAACCAGTTTTTTTTAACATTTGAAATTAAAATGTTTAGGAATAAATTTTATGTGGATTCATTCATTAAGCATAGGTCTTAATGAGTTCCTACTACATGGCTAAAATTGTACGACATACAGGAGACTCAGTAGTGATAAACATTCAAGCAAATTACAAGACAATGAAAACAGACCAAAAAAAGAAAATCTTATCTGTCTGAAAAAGAAGATAAACTAAAAAAAAAACAAAATAAAGAATGAAGGTCAGCTAGTGAGATGTGAGAGGCATCTAAGATAACTAGTAGATTTCTGTCTTGGATGACTGATGATGCTGTTTGCTGAGGGAGGAGAGTTCTCTCAGGCGTGCTAGTCTGGTTCATGATTCCCAAAACTTATCTGATCCGTTAAGACTAGGCAAGGACCTGAGTTGTCATCACTGGGATGTCTTAATAATCCTAGCACTCATTCAGTGAAGACTACCATGTTGTTAGGCTTGTTTTTAAATTTGTTTTGGTTTCCTACTTTGGATCTACTGAATTAGAGTGGTGGTGGAGAGAGGCTTGGCAGTAGGGATCTGTAGGTTTAAAAAGCTCTTAAGATTTTTTTTTTTTTTTTTTTTTGAGATGGAGTCTCACTCTCTCACCAGGCTGGAGTACAGTGGTGTGATCTTGGCTCACTGCAACCTCCCTATCCCAGGTTCAAATGATTCTCCTGCCTCAGCCTCCCAAGTAGCTGGGATTACTGGCATGTGCCACCACACCCAGCTAATTTTTTTTGTTTTTTTTGTATTTTTAGTAGAGACAGGGTTTTACCATGTTGACCAGGATGGTCTCGATCTCCTGACCTTGTGATCCGCCTGCCTTGACCTCCCAAAGTGCTGGGATTACAGGTACCAGCTGCTGCGCCCGGCCAGGTGGTTCTGATGGGCAGCCAGATTTGAGAACCAGGTTCAGTCTGGAGCTCAAAAAAGGGATCTGTGCTGAGCCTGAGATACAACATTAAATACAACATCTTGTACAGACTGTGGTTGAAGATGTCAGGGTACTACATGAAATCGCCCAGGATGAACTGTGGTTCTCAATCTGGCATCAATTTGAATAACTTGAGAAACTTGTTAAAAATACAGATGCTGGCTGGGTGTGGTGGCTCATGCCTGTAATCTCAGCACTTTAGGGAGCCAAGGTGGGCAGATTGCCTGCGCTCAGGAGTTGGAGACCAGCCTGGGTAACACGCTGAAACCATGTCTCTACTAAAATACAAAAAATTAGCTGGGCGTGGCAGCGGGCGCCTGTAGTCCCAGCTACTCAGGAGGCTGAGGCAGGAGAATTGCAAGAACCTGGGAGGCGGAGGTTGCAGTGAGCTGAGATCACTGCACTCCAGCCTGGGTGACAGAGCAAGACTCTCAAAAAAATAAAAAACAAATGCTTTTGTCCTGATCCCCAACAATTGTTTAAGAGGTAGAAACAGATGAAAGCCAGGCACAGAACTTTCAGTATTCCAAGGTATAAGGATTTGGAGGAGGAAGTAAAGGGTTGAATAGAAAGCAGAAACTGTAAGACACAAAATGTAGACCATGGTTTAGTGAAGTGTGGCTGTGAGGACCCAGAGAGCTGTAAGGCAGTAACCAGAAGTAGGAAGAGAGAGTTGGTTTGCCTTTTCTTTTCTGAAAGAAGATATGAAGTCATGAGCTGAGTGGAAGAAGACAGTAGAAAGGAGCTGATAATTGGCTACATTTACCCATATAACTGGCATAAAGCATAATGGTATACATGGTAAAAGGGAAATATCAAAAGGCTGTGGTCAGGCAAGGCCATGGAGCTGAAGGCAAATCTAGAAGGAATAGGTAAAACTGTTGAAAAGTATCTGGGAAATACCGATACTTCAAAGACCTGGGTAGTGAATGAAGCCTTGGAAAGAGTATCCCCGGAGTTTATGAGAGTAGCTTGTTTGGGGAAACCTGACAAATTAAAGCTGTTGGAAAAAAGATGACTTTAGTGGGATACGATGCAGAATGGTTAAGACTGTTAGTTCTGGAGTTGGACTGCCTATGTTCATTCAACCCCAGCCTTGTTTCTTTTTCTTTTTTTTTTTTTTTGAGATGGAGTCTTGCTCTGTTGTCAGTAGAACACAGTGGCACGATCTTGGCTCACTACAGACTCTACCTCCTGGGTTCAAGCCATTCTCCTGCCTCAGCCTCTTGAGTAGCTGGGACTACACTGTGCCATGACACCCATCTAACTTTTGTATTTTTAGTAGAGATGGGGTTTTACCATGTTGGCCAGGATGGTCTGGATCTCTTGACCTCATGATCTGCCCACCTTGGCCTCCCAAAATGCTGGGATTACAGGTGTGAGCCACTGCAACCAGCTGCCTTATTTCTTAGAGTTGTGTGACCTTGGGTATGCTGGAGAAAATGATACCTATCTCAGCAAATAGATGTAGATTTTAAATAAGAATATTCAAGCAAAGGACTTAGGTCAGTGCCAGATACCCAGTAAGTGTAAGTGCTCACACACTGTGGTGCTGAGCAGTTTTAGTAATACACGTTAGCTATCAGTGATTGTTTATATATCTCTCACCCCCTTTTTTTAAAGCCTGTAGCTACATTTTTTTTCTTTAAATTTAAGAGAGTCTCACTCTGTTACCCAGGCCAAAGTGTAGTGACAAAATCGCGACTCATTGCAGTCTTGACCTCCTGGGCTCAAGCAATCCTCACAACTTAGCCTCCTGTGTAGCTGGGACTACAAGTGTACCCCACCACACCTAATTTTTTGTATCTTTTGTAATGATGGGGTTTTGTCTTGTTACCTAGGCTTGGTCTTGAATTCTTGGGCTCAAGCGATCCGCCCATCTCAGCCCCACAAAGTGCTGGGATTATGACGGTGGCCATTGTGCCCAGCCTTTTTTTTTTTTTTTTTTAAGTAAAGACAAGATTTCACCATGTTGGTCAGGCTGGTCTTGAACTCCCAACCTCAGGCGATCCCCCCACCTTGGTCTCCAAAATGCTTGGATTACAGGCGTGAGCCACTACGCCCAGCAATATTAATTTTTTTAGGCCTGGTATAATGGCTCACACCTGTCATCCTAGCACTTTGAGGTGGGCAGATTGGTTGAGCCCAGGAGTTCGAGACAAGCCTGGGCAACATGGCAAAACTCCATCTCTACAAAAAAATGCAAAAATTAGCTGGGTGTGTTGGCAGGCATCTAAAATCCCAGCTACTTGGGAGGCTAGGGCAGGAGGATCACCTGAGCCTGGGAGGTCAAGGCTCTAGTGAGCTGTGATTGTGCCACTGCACTCCAACCTAGGTGACAGAGGGACACCGTCTCAAAAATTTATGTATAAAATAAAATAAAATAAAATAAAATTATGTATATAGGCTGGGCACAGTGGCTCCCGCCTGTAATCGCAGCACTTTGGGAGGCCAAGGCAGGTGGCTCATGAGGTCAGGAGTTCAATACCAGCCTGGCCAAGATAGTGAAACCCTGTCTCTACTAAAAATACAAAAAAAATTTAGCTGGGTGAGAATCTGTCTCAACACACACTCTCTCTCTCTCTCTCTCTCTCTCTCTCTCTCTCTCTCTCTCTCTCTCTCTGGATCTTGCTGTGTTGCTGAGGCTGGTCTCCAACTCCTGGACTCAAGGGATCCTCCTACCTTACCCTCCCCAAGCGCTTAGATTATTGGCATGAGCCACTGTGCCAGACCTATAAGAATACTTTTATAATAATTGACCACTCATGGGAGTTGGGAGCTGTAATGGCTGCTTGGATTAAAGTTGGCAATGTAAAATAGTCTCATTTTAATTGTGAATAAAAATTTTATTGTAATAGTTAATGAACATGAATAATATTACAAACGTGAAAATTATATGATTGGACATATTAGGGGTTATGCAGGCTAGTGTGTACAGGTTAGCACTGCCTGTGCCTCAAAACACTCACATACCATTTGTGCCTTTGATATCCTTTGATGCAAATTGTTAGAATTTTCTTTTTTCTTTTTTTTTTGGAGATGGAGTCTTTGTTGCCAAACTGGAGTGCAGTGGCATGATCGTGGCTCACTGCAACCTCTGCCTCCTGGGTTCAAGCAGTACTCCTGCCTCAGCCTCCTGAGTAGCTGGGACTACAGGCGTGTGCCACCACACCCAGCTAATTTTTGTATTTTTAGTAGAGATGAGATTTCACCATGTTGGCCAGGATGGTCTCGATTTCTTGACCTTGTGATTGCCCAGCTTGGCCTCCCAAAGTGCTGGGATTACAGGCATAAGCCACCGCGCCAGGCCAGAATTTTCTGATATGACATACTCTTAAGTAAGTATACTTTATCATATAATAACTAGTATTATGTGGACACATTTCATTTTCAAATAAATATTTTAATGTTGTAGAAGAAAAGATATTGGCAAGCATAGCATTTACTCCTCACCCCTTCTTACCTGTTTTATGACACAGAGTGCAATATTGGCCATAGACAAGAAAGGTGAGGTTGAGCTCACTTGCCTTTTTTTTTTGAGGAATGGGTGCCAAATTTTTTATTTGTTAATTTCTTACATTTGAAGTACACATCTTTGGCCTGAAATTCTTTGCCGCAGTCCTTCACACAACTGCAACCAGCCACTTTACAGAATTTCCTTATGTGTCATTTTTACAGAGCTTAGCCATTTCTCTGGTTTCTTACGGTCATCAATCTTGTTTTTTTTTTTTCTTACTTGTATGCAAAGTCACATGAAAGCATCATCAATCTTAATTGGGTTGATTTGGCGTTCAGCACCAAGGGCCACCACTAGCTTGACATACACAGGCTCTTCACAGTTGGATGCAAACAAAGATGGGCTTGGCTCTTGTCTAAGGCTTTGGCAGCTTTGCAGATTCCACCTAGTAGGCCATCATGGATGATGGTGGTCTTCAGTGCCTCTTGTAAAGCAGTATTAATATCCATTACACCTCCAGCAGCAGTATCTTCCTTGGCCATGGTGGTGGGTTATTGGTGAAGCTGAGTCTTGAGCACACTCGAGCTTCTGTTTCTGAACATGTTGTCCATGGCAGAGAAAGAGAGTTGGCTTTCTTTTCTTAACTGCAGGTAGTGGGCAGCAGTCAGTGACAGGTGTAACCTCTGTGGATGACAGCAACAGTTACTGGAGGATACGGGGGAAGACCGCCACAGTGTGTGAGAGGGGAACCCCCATCAAGTGTGGCCAACCCATCCGGCTGACACATGTCAACACTGGCCGAAACCTCCATAGTCACCACTTTACTTCACCTCTTTCTGGAAACCAGGTGAGGTGGCTTTTAATGGATCGATGGATCATTGCTGCCCTGAATTACTCAGTGGGTGGTGGTTTGATTTCTTAACTGTTTCTTTTCCAGGTGTAGATATTCTCTTTTGTGCAGACCTAGGGAAATGGCTCTGCTATTTTGTTTTTTTTGTCACCCAGGCTGCAGTGTAGTGGCATGATCTCTGCTCAGTGCAACCTCCACCTCCTGGGTTCAAGTAATTCTCCTGTCTTGGCCTCCTAAGGAGCTGGGACTACAGGCATGCGCCACCACGCCTGGCTAAGTTTTGTATTTTCAGTAGAAATAGGGTTTCGCCATAATGGCCAGGCTGGTCTCAAACTCATGACCTCAGGTGTTCCACCCGCCTCAGCCTTCTAAAAGTGTTGGGATTACAAGCTTGAGCCACCGTGTCTGGTGGCTCTGTTTTATAAATGTGAAGAAAATTGTTCCAGTCCAAGTGGAGACAACAACTAAACTAAATCGAGAAATGGGAAGGACAGACAGCATATCTTAAGTTCTGATATCCTGCAATAAAGAAACCCAATGTTTTCCAACTTGCAGTTAGTTTTTTTTTTTTTGAGACAGAGTTTCACTCTTGTTACCCAGGCTGGAGTGCAATGGCGCGATCTCGGCTCACCGCAACCTCCGCCTCCTGGGTTCAGGCAATTCTCCTGCCTCAGCCTCCTGAGTAGCTGGGATTACAGACACCCGTCACCGTGCCCAGCTAATTTTTTTGTATTTTTAGTAGAGACGCGGTTTCACCATGTTGACCAGGATGGTCTTGATCGCTTGACCTCGTGATCCACCCGCCTCGGCCTCCCAAAGTGCTGGGATTACAGGTGTGAGCCACTGCGTTTGGCCCCAGTTTTTTTTTTTTTAATTTTTTTAATGATGCTAGCTAGTTACATTAGGAAAATGGATTTGTTATTGTGTCATTATTCTTTTTTTTAAACACAGAGTCTTGGTCTGTCACCCAGGCTGCAGTGCAGTGGTGTGATCTTGCTTGCTGCAGCCTTGGCTTCCTGGGCTTAAGCACTTCTCCTACCTCAGCCCCCACTACAGGCTTATGCCACCATGCCCGGCTAATTTTTGTATTTTTTTGGTAGATGCAGGATTTTGCCTTGTTGCCCAGGCTGGTTTCAAACTCCTGAGCTCAAGCTATCTGTCCACCATAGCCTCCCAAAGTACTGGGATTACAGGCCTAAGCCACTGCGCCCCGCCTTGTGCCACTGTTTTAAGCTTTGAGTTGTCAGGGGATGGTGACCCCTTAATGACTCCTTCCCTGTCCCCACTGCCTGTATACAGTTTTCCCTATTAACATCTTATCTTAGAAGGGTAAATTTGCTACACTTATTGAGGCAATACTGAGACAGTTTTATTAACTAAAGTTCATAGCTTTTTTCTGATTCCCTTAGTGAATTTTTTTTTATTTTTTGAGACAGAATCTCTGTCCCAGGCTGGAGTGCAGTGGCACAATCTCCATTTGCTTTAACCTCTGTCTCCCAGGTTCAAGCTATTCTGCCTCAGCCTCCCGAGTAGCTGGGATTACAGGCATCTGCCACCACGCGTGGCTAGTTGTGTGTGTGTGTGTGTGTGTGTGTGTGTGTGTATTTGAGTCAGAGTTACGCACTGTAGCCAGGGCTGGAGTGCAATGGTGCAATCTCGGCTCACTGCAACCTCTGCCTTCCAGGTTCAAGCGATTCTCCTGCCTCAGCCTCTGAGTAGCTGGGATTACAGGCATCTGCCACCATGCCCGGCAATTTTTTGTATTTTTTAAGTATAGACAGGGTTTCACTGTGTTTGCCAGGCTCATCTCTAACTCCTGACCTCGTAATCCACCCGCCTCGGCCTCCCAAAGTGCTGGGATTACAGGCGTGAGTCACCACGCCTGGCCAATTTTTGTATTTTTAGTAGAGACGAAGTTTCATAATATTGGCCATGCTGGTCTCGAACTCCTGACCTCGTGATCCATCCACCTTGGCCTCCCAAAGTGCTGGGATTACAGGTGTGAGGCTACTGTGCCCAGCCCCTTAGTTTTTACCTAATGTTCCTTTTCTATTCCAAGATACATTACATATACTTGTCATATCTTATTAGGCTGTTCTTGGGTGTGACAGTTTTTCAGAATTCCCTAGTTTTTGATGACCTTGACAGCTTTGAGGAGTGGTAATCAGATGTATTGTAGAATGCCCCTCAGTTGGAATTTGTCTGTTTTTCTTATGATTAGACTAGTCTTATAAAGGATTTAGGAGGAAGATCACAGAGGTAAAGTGCCATTTTTATCCCATCATAGCAGGGGTATATACTGTCTTTATGATTTTTTTTTTTACAGTCCAGAGGTCTTTTATTTTTTTTAACACCTATTATGCCATGAATTCATAGGGAATAGGTTCCAGCAGCTCAGGCTCCTTCCTATTGGTTCTCACACAGTGTGCTTCTCTGGGTGGAGCAGGCTGTCACTTCAGTTGGACCCAGGTACGTTTCTCTTTGGCTTCTTTCTTTTTCTGATCATTTTCCTTCACACGTTTTAGGAAGCTATCTTGGCTCTTAGAGTGCTTGATGTGCTCAATACGCACATTAATTCTCTTGGCAAGAATCTTGCCCTTAACTTGTTTGTTTACAACAATGCCAACAGCATGCTGGGTAACATTGTCAACTCTTTCAGTTTTGCCATTATAACATTTGTGGGGCATTCGTTTTTGAACAGTACCCATTCCCTTGATGTCTACAATATCACCTTTCTTATAGATTCGCATATATGTGGCCAAAGGAACAGCTCCATGTTTTCTTAAAGGCCTAGAGTGCCTCTCCTCTCTCCCTTTGTGTTCATGATTTTGGCGAATTACTGGAAGATGGCGGTTCCAGCCAAAAGGCTTTATGATTTATGACTGTTGATGTTGACCTTGATTACTTGGCTGAAGTAGTGTTTGTTGGTTGGGTTTCTCCTGTAAAGTTACTCTTTTCATTTTCCCCCTTTCCATTCACTTTTTGAAGGAAGTCACTATGTGCATTTCACTCTTATAGACTGGAGAGTTATGCTTTCTTTACCTTAGTGTGGAATACCTACATAGTTTATTTGGGATTTTTCCATATGGGGGATTTGTCTCTTTTCCCCAATTTATTTATTTATTCAGTTATTTACATTAGTCTAAACTCATGGATAGTTTATACTTTGTTATAATCTAATACTACATTTTGTTGTTTAAATTGTTCCAACTTTGAGTATTAGGAATTCTTTCAGCTGGCTTTGTGTCTATTTGACAGCATCCCATTGTGTGTGTGTGTATACGTGCATACACTTTAAAGCACTTCTTAACTTTCTGGCACCAAAAGATGCCACAGGCTCATCTTGCTTATTTCTTGCTCCAGTACTAGAATCAGCTATTTCTCCAAGGAACTATGCTTCCTTTTATTGGAGAGTGGTATTAAAACCAAGTTCTAGGCCTTATCTAACCTTGTCTAAAAGAAACTGTAATGTTTCTTTTAGGCCCTCTAACTTGACAGAATAAAGAACTGTGTCTGGCCAGGGGTGGTGGCTCATGCCTGTAATTCCAGCACTTTCGGAGGCTGAGGCAGGTGGATCATGAGGTCAGGAGATCAAGACCATCTGGCCATGTTGAAAGCCCATCTCTATTAAAATACAAAAAATTAGCCGGGCTTGGTGGTGCATACCTGTAGTCCCAGCTACTCAGGAGGCTAAGGCACGGGAATCACTTGAGACGGAGGTTGCAGTGAGCCAAGATCGTGCCACTGTACTGCAGCCTGGTGACAGAGCAAGACTCTGTCTCAAAAAAAAAAAAAAAAAAAAGAGCTGTATCTGTGTATACTTACTCATGTATATACACATATCTATAAATATTTTTATGTGTAGCCATCTGTATCTATATATATATTAAGTTAAATGAGGTTTCTTTTTCTTTTCCTTTTTTTAAGATGGGCTCTTTCTGTGTTATCCAGACTGGAATGCAGTGGCTATTCATAGGTGTGATCATAGTGCACTAGAGCCTGCCTCAGCCTCCTAAGTAGCTGGGAGTACAGGCATGCCCCACTGTGCCTGGCTAGGGTTCTTACTGATGTTTTTAGCTGTAATCCATTACCACATAAATCATGCTAGCCTCCCCGTGTTAATTTGTAAATTCCCACTCCAACAGTAAGATACCTTGCTCCCACCATCCGACATTCATGTATTGAACTTGTTCATTCCAGTATACAAACATAGCAGTGTCAGAATTACATACTGGTACCCTCCTGGGAAACAATTTTATCAAGTAGAGTGCACACACACACACACACACACACACACACCTGAAATAACCAATAAATGTTCAATTGCCATTGTATAGAAACCGAATATTTGGCCTTGTGGAGAATGGGATTTAGATGAGGAGTAGAATATAGAAAACTTTCTCTTTCACTGCCTTTTTTGAAAGAAAGAAAAAAAAAAATATAGAGAACTTGCTATGTTTTGCTCAGTTAATATTTGCTATCTCATTTAATTCTCACAGTTGCTCTGTCGGGTGATACTGTGATCATTTTATAGAGGAGAAAACAAAGGCTCAGAGGATTTACAGAGGAAGGGATCAAGTTGAGATTCAGAGTTGGCCTGACTCCAGAGTCCATTCCCTTTTGAACTTGTCATCAGGTCATTTAAAAGCTACTTAAGGGAATGAAGCAGTAATATTTAAAGTCAAATAATTAGGGATATAAAGTATTTTAAGGGCCGAATATGGTGGCTCATGCCTGTAATCCCAGCACTTTGGGAGGATGAGATGGGTGGATCACTTGAGGCTGGGAGTTTGATATCAGCCTGGTCAACATGGTGAAACCCTATCTCTATTAAAAAAATACAAAAATTAGCTGGGTGTGGAAGCACATGCCTGTAATCCCAGCTACTCTGGAGGCTGAGGCATGAGAATCACTAGAACCTGGGAGGCGGAGGTTGCAGTGTGCCAAGATTGTGCCACTGCACTCTAGCCTGGACAACAGAGCGAGATGCTATCTCAAGAAAATAAAGTATTTTAAGGCCAGCATGGTGACTCACACCTATAATTCCAACACCTTGAAAGTCCAAGCAAGGAGAATCACTTAAGACTAGCAGTTCAAGATCAGCTGAGGCAACATAGTTGCTTACAAAATTTTTTTTTAATTACCAGGGTGTGGTGGTATACACCTGTAGTTGTAGCTACTCAGGAGCTGAGTCCATAAGATCACTTGAGGCACTGCACTCCAGCCCTGGCAACAGAGCAAGGTCCCAGCTCTTTTTTTGAGATGAAGTTTCACTTTTGTCACCCAGGCTGGAGTGCAATGGTACGATCTTGGCTTATTGCAACCTCCACCTCCCGGTTCAAGCGATTCCCCTACCTCAGCCTCCTGAGTAGCTGGGATTACAGGTTCCTGCCACCACGTCAGCTAATTTTTGTATTTTCAGTAGAGACAGAGTTTCACCATGTTGGCCAAGCTGGTCTCGAACTCCTGACCTTAGGCGATCTGCCCACCTGGGCCTCCCAAAGTGCTGAGATTACAGGTGTGAGCCACCGTACCTGGCCAAGATCCCAACTCTTCAAGAGAAAAAAAGTTATAATATTTTAACAATGTAATAGAAAATATAAGGTAAATATAGTATTAATTGTAAAATAAGGGTTTGGACAATAATCTTTTTTTTTTCTTTCTGTTTGATGCCATGACTCAGATAGAAACCATGGACCATAATCTTATAGGAATGAATTTTTTTTTCTTCTTACATCCTTTGTGTCTTTTTTTGCTTTGTCATCCAAGCTGGAGTGCAGTGATAAGATCACGGCTCACTGCAGCCTCAACCTCCCAAACTCAGGTGATAGCTGTAGTAGCTGGGTACTATAGGCATGTGCCACCATACCCAGCTAATTTCTTTTATGTGTTTTCAGGATGTGGTTTCGCTGTGTTGCCCAGGCTGGTCTCAAACTCCTGGGCTCAAGGGATCTGTCTTCCTCAGCCTCCCAAAGTGCTAGGATTACAGGCCTGAGCCACCATGCCTGGCCACCTCGATTTTTTATTTCAAGGTGGCCTTCTTTTTTCTTCCCATTCCCTCCCACCCCTTTTCAAGCCCTTGTCAGCCATGCTAATGTTACTACCTTCTGTGTTTTCCAGGAAGTGAGTGCTTTTGGTGAGGAAGGTGAAGGTGATTATCTGGATGACTGGACAGTGCTCTGTAATGGACCCTACTGGGTGAGAGATGGTGAGGTGCGGTTCAAACACTCTTCCACTGAGGTACTGCTGTCTGTCACAGGAGAACAATATGGTCGACCTATCAGTGGGCAAAAAGAAGTGCATGGCATGGCCCAGCCAAGTCAGAACAACTACTGGAAAGCCATGGAAGGCATCTTCATGAAGCCCAGTGAGTTGTTGAAGGCAGAAGCCCACCATGCAGAGCTATAAATCTAGAGGCTCTGAGCCACTGTTAACACAGTGTTCATAGACGTCTGTTGCTGCCTCTCCTTGGTATCCCTGCCACAAGTTCCTTGGTCAGTGGCCATGTCACCATTGAGATGAAGACATACAACAGAAAATAGAGGCTCTGTTTGGAAGCTTCAGCCTGCACAATTGAACTTCATTCTCCCAGACTTGCATAGGTCGGTTCTTTCTGAGTAGAGGACTTGCTGGTAAAGGGGCGGATGTTTTTTATTCATATTGATAAACTGAGGGCAGTATCCCTCTTAGCTGAGAAACTTTTACTCCTCAGGAGCTTGACATCATGGACTGTTAATCTATGTGATTTTCCCCCTATTTTCTCTCTCCAAAATGATAAAAACAATAATTTTATTATTAGTCACTATGTTGTTATTTATTATGTGTGCTATTTCATTATCTGCTTAATCCTTGAGTCCTAACACTCTTTGGAGATGCTATGAACCTTCAGTTGGGTTCTTTTAAGAACTTTACTTGCATCCAAACCTTTTCTCTCTCTACGTTGACTTCTCTCCAGACATTTCATCTTTAATAGATCTTTGACTAATTATAGCTAAAAACTCTCAAAGAATATAGCATAACAAACAGCCAGTGAAATGTTTGCTTTGTAGCTGTTATTGCAAATGAGAAAAAGGGGTGGGGTAGAAAGAACCAGTATGCACGGCTAAATACTAGGTACCATATTATAGATCTTACCTCATTTAATCTTCACAGAATTAGTATAGGGTAATACATTTTTTACCAGTGCAACAGAAAAGTTGAGTAACTGCCTGAATTTTGTTTTTTTCTTTTTTGAGACAGGGTCTTTGCTGTCATCCAGGTGGGAGGGATGCGATCACAGCTTATTATAACCTTGACCTCCTGGGCTCAAGTGATCCTCCTGTGTCAGTTTTTGGTTTATTGTAGAGTTGAGATCTCACTAGGTTACCCAGGCTGGTCTGGAACTCCTGGGCTCAAGCGATACTCATGCTGTGGTCTCTCAAAGTGCTGGGATTACTGGGATAAGCTGCCATGACTGGCTTACTGCCTGAATTCTTAAAACGAATAATTTTGGAATAGTAATCCAGCTGTTCATGACTCATGTTTTTTTAACTACACAATTGTGTTTAGCTTTTGGAAAACAAATCCTGTTTTTTGGACAAACGTAGATATATCTTTCTCTAAAAAGATGGTTAGAAAACTACTTTTGTCCTCTGCCTACATGATTTCCTCCTTTCCTATGTCAGTTATAGAAAATTTGCTCCTGTAGCTTTCAGTCATAGTATTGGTGAACAGAGATGGCTGCCATCTGCTGGAATTTCAGTGACTAGCAGCCTTTTTTATTTTTAGAAACTTCTGGGTTTTGTTCTTTTTCCTATTTGCTTTGTTAACGTAGAACATTTAGAGACCAGTTCTGTGCCAAACATGGCCCATGACATTAAAAGACTTGGTCTCTTTTACAAGGATTTGTGGTCTCAATAAATGGAGGCCATGAATTAGTTGAGCTCCACTGCTGCCTCTACTGTCCCTCCTGCTCCCCGACTCCCTGTATTTATTCTACTTGTGTTGTTCCCTTAAGATCTCTCCAGAAAGAAATAGAAAAATGCTAAAATCAACATGTTAAGCTATGAGATGGTTGGGAGTAGGGCTAGTAACAGTCTAGGGAGAAGGAAGGAAGGGATAGTCTTGGCTGAATAAACAGATTAGATAACATGAACCAGAGTAAGGATATGTGTTGCATGGCACCCCTCCTTGATTTGGACAGAGGTTTTCAGTGAATTAGGCCTTCCTGAGCATTCAGAGGATGTACCCTGGGGGAAGGCTGCAGATTACAAGGAAGATGACACAAATATAGTGCTTGAGAGGTAAGTATGACCTTGAAACAGCTTTGGAGCTCTTGGGGAGATGTGAAATCACTGATGAGAGGACTAGATAAGGGAAGAAACCAGTCAGAGACATAAAAGCAACTTTGGGCCACAAATAGGTGAAAGATGAAATGGTATTTTATCTGAGGAAGCCAAACAGAAACTCTTGAGTAAAATCTTGAAGGATATTTATGGAATTAGGATGTGGGAATGAAGGGGCATGAAAAGAGACATGACCTACTCCATTTATTTTGAAACCCTCAGGGTCAGGCGCAGTGGCTCACGCCTGAAATCCCAGCACTTTGGGAAGCTGAGGTGGGTGGATCACCTGAGGTCGGGAGTTTGAGACAAGCCTGGCTAACATGATGAAACCCCATTTCTACTAAAAATACAAAAATATTGTTAGCTGGTCATGGTGGGGTTCACCCGTAATCCCAGCTACTTGGGAGGCTGAGGCAGAATCGTTTGAGCCCGGGAGGTGGAGGTTTGCAGTGAGCCCAGATTGCGACATTGCACTCCTGCTTGGTCAACAAGAGCAAAACTCCATCTCAAAAAAAAAAAAAAAAAATCCTCAGGATTTTCTTAGCTTGTGCTGTATTATCGGTATCATTCAGATACTGATTCTTGGTAGCAGCACAGTAACTCTGAGAGACCTTTGTCCTGTTCTCTCATTTTACAGAGAAGCAGGCAAAAACTATGTATTGTCTATTTTATATGTCTGCTTCCCAGATAAACTATTTTTTGCTAACGGGCAAGAACAATATTCAGTACTTCTGCAGTATCTCCCCTCTTCAGGGCCCAGTTCGTACTATAAGTAGATTGACCAGAACAGTGTTCAAACAGTAAATGAAGTAAAAACTCATTGGCCAGGAACGGTTTCGCGCGTCTTTAGTCCCAGCAACTCAGGAGGCTGAGGTGAGAAGATCCCTTGAGCCTGCAGGAGTTCGAGACCAGACTGGGCACCATAACGAGTCCTCGTCTCAAAAAAAACAAAAAAAAAAACACAACTCATTAGTTTCCTCTGGATGGAATTGGGCGGGATTTTTCAGGCTTTTTAATTACCTCCTAGTTTCCGCCTCAGTAATTTTCCTGAACAGGATCTTGAATAAGATACCACTAGTCTGACGGGGGTGTAACTTCCGCAGAACATAAGTCCAGGCCTAAGTGGCGAGGCGGACTCCAACTCCCCTGCCCCTGAAAGTTAGCTCTCCCCGCCGAAATGAGCCAGCCAAGTCACCGCAGCCCAGGAAGTGGGCCCGGACTCCGGGCACCGTGGGGAGCGCCCGGGGCGTCTGTCAGCTCTCGGTCGGCTCCCCAGCGCCCTCCTCCCGGGGCCACACCCGTTCCTAGCGCACGCAGCCGGTCGGCCCTGCCGGGTCGCGGGGCGGGGTGGGGCTGAGGAGGGAGGCCGTTGGCTGGCTGGCGGGCTGTGGGAGGCGGGGCTCGCGTGCGCACCAACGCTTCCTAGCTCAGCGCTGCTCCTGCGCTCGCGGCTGGTCGGCCCGCGGCTGCGTTGCGCGGATCCGGCGTCGGGGCCCGGCATGGCGGGGGCCGGGGCCAAGCCGGGCCGGACCCGGACCTAAATGCCTCTGTTCTTTTCCGCGCTGTTGGTTTTGCTGCTGGTTGCGCTTAGCGCTCTCTTTCTAGGCCGGTGAGGGGCTCTCGGCCGCGGCAGTGGCGGAGGGAGGGAGGGGGCAAAGAGGAGGAAGAAAGACTGAGGAGGGGGCGCCGGCCGGACTGAGGCGCGGGAGGCAGAATGGGTAGAGTTGAGGAGGGGGCGCGCGGCGAGGGGAGGGATCGTGCGGGGGCGCGCGGCCTGAGCTGCAGGGAATGGGCTGAGAGTGGGGGAGACTGAGGAAGCGGGCGGGGCCTGAGGAAATGCTGAGGCCAGGAACTGAATAGGAGTCTGAGGAAGGGGCCTGGTTCAGTGGCCTCGCTTTCCCTCTCTTCCCCCCCGAATGTCCTCTTTGCCAAGCGCGAAGGGCACCTGCAGCATAGGTCTGGGGAGAACAGCATTCTAGCAGCCAGGTCTGACCTCAAAGTGCCTTCTCGCGGATACCTATCTGGAGGGTGGGGGCAGGAGACGGAGACCCTCTGGGGAGTGTGATGGCGTGATGGCATATCTGACAGAGCCGCCTCCGCTGTGACTCCTGCTGGGGCCTTCTGCCTTTGCTTCTGGGATTCCTAACAATTTGAGAGATTTTTTTTTTTTTTTTTGTCCCCAACTTAGAGGGTGGAGTTTCTGGTTTCCTCTGGGTGGAGGGGTCAGTCGAGAGCTAGGATCTTGATCAGTGTCGCTGAATGTCTATGACAGAGTGGTGCTTTGGGAGAAAGGAGGGTTGCTCAGATCCAGTTTCAGGAAACGACCTTTTTGCAAGGCTTTGTAAGACCAGCAAGGGGTGAGGGAAACTTTCATTGGAAAAGGGTCCTATGAATAAACGGAAATTTTTCTGCAGGTGGCTTGTAGTCCGGTTGGCCACCAAGTGGTGTCAGCGGAAGCTGCAGGCGGAGCTAAAGATTGGCTCCTTCCGCTTTTTTTGGATCCAGAATGTCAGTCTTAAGTTTCAGCAGCACCAGCAAACAGTGGTGAGTTCTAGGAAACTCTGGATATGTATGTAAGGTTGATTCAGCTGAATTTAAACTCTTAATTTCCTTTTTTAAAAAAAAAATAAATTCTGGTGGCTTTTCTAGTAAATCCCAGCCTTGCCATTTCTTTGCCAAGATGATCTTAGAACTAGTTGGAGAACGCTGGGATTGATGCAAGTTGTTCAGTTAAAAATGTTTATAGGACACAGAGTGTCCAGGCCACATAACAAAGATACAAAAGAAAGATAACAGGATATCGAAGAGTTTACTATTCTAAGAGGGGATTCAAGGCAACATGCCTATGAAAGAGAAATTCTAATAATCCAGAACCTTTCCTGGCTTGTCAAGCTGCTCATTGCTTATTTAGCAGCAGCTAGCACACAGAACTTTCTCCCTCACTATTTTAGGAAATTGATAACCTGTGGATTTCCAGCAAACTCCTTAGCCATGATCTTCCGTGAGTACCCTATATTCTCACTTCTCCCCTAAGGGAGTATTTTGTAGTTGGTGTTTCCAGAGTGAGATTCTTCTACAGAGGACTCACAATCCAAGGAGGAAGGGATGTTCTTGCTGAAGTCTTCCTGTTAGCCTGGGTGCCGTTATCTCGTGAGACAGATATTGATAACTGCTATAAACCTAACCCTCTGATTTGAGCTATATTTCTTGGAAGGATGAGAAAGTGAATGTGAGGGTGGAGAATAGATTGCTATGAGAGGAATGGGCCTGGTGGCAGTGAGATTTCTCTTCTGGGCAGACACTATGTGGCGTTGTGCTTTGGAGAAGTGCGTATCAGAACGGACCTACAGAAAGTTTCTGGCCTGTCTGCCCCATTCTCCCAGAGCGCTGGGGTGGATCAAAAGGAACTGTCCTTCAGCCCATCCTTACTGAAGATCTTCTGCCAAGTGAGACAACTTCTCCCGCTATCCTGGA